GGGCGAGGGTGTGACATTTGAGTGTGTCGGGTTGGAGGTATGGGGTATTGGAGGTTGACGTTGAGGCTCAAAGCTCGGCGTGCGGACTCTGAACAATCTAATTGTATACTTGCATATGTAAAGCATCAACACATTCACCTCTCCAGCCCGTTCTGTCGGGTGCAGGGAACTCGTATTTGTATAAGGTTTGCCTAGAGGGACTAGATCTGCATGACGAAACATTCGTCACCCAAAAATAAACTGCGAATGTACCTGTGTCTTGGCGCGATACCCGTTGCGAGTAAGCCCGCGCTTCGGGTGCCTGACAAGTACATAAACAGCGATCTACAATCTCCCGGCTCAGAGCAGCCGACACCTGTCTCGTGCAATATAAGTTGCAAAGGATTACGACAATCCTAGTGAAATTACAATATGTATAACATAGCATGCGTCGTATCGTTCTATCTCCTCCAGCCTAGCAGCGACGCGCTGTCCCGTACGCAGTGTCCACCGTCACGAACGACCCCATCCAACTGATCTCCGCGTGCTGCCATCCTCGACGTGGCTGCGTGTGTCCCGCAGGAGAGCTTTTACGTGCGTGCCGAGGAGCTGTCGCAGCGCGGGTATATGGTATAGTAATGCGCGAGACGACACGATTTAATCGCGGGGGCCGTGGCGGATGAACTTGGGGTCGGGTTCAGTGCCGCCGTTGACACTAGCGGATGCTGGCGGGTCCGCGACGAAGATGTTGTCGCCCTTGATGTTAAGGAATGTGTACTATAAGTTGGTGTGAGATGGGTCGTACAATGCGAACAGTGTAGAACGGGGAATAGGGTCGAGTGTAACATACCTCTGCTAGTTCTGCCCCGCTCGCCCTGTTGTAATTAACATAGACTAGGTTAGGCTCCATCATAACTGGCCGCAGACCAGCTGCTTCCAGCAGTTCCCACCAGCTCAGGAAGTCCGGAAACCTCTTGCCCCAGACGTGAAGCTCTATATGTAGCTGGCCGAAGGGTAGCAGCTTGCCACTGTCCACGTAAGGTTGCACCATAGCCCTGAGCGTGTCAAATTCATAGCCTTCGATATCAATCTTGAGGATGTCAATGAATGTGTGGCCATTCTGCTTCATAACAGTTTCGAGCGTGTGCAAGTTGTTCTCGTCGCTGCGGTCTTCTGGGCCAAGCTGAACTTGCGTTTGGAAATGTGTGCGGTGCTTCTTGGTGAAGGACGCGTGGGAGACTTGACGACCAAAGTCCTTCCGGGAGTGGTCATAGCCCCATATCGTGCAGCCTTCGGTGTTATCCAGCACGGCGGCTTCCCAAGCAGAGTCCCAGTCCATCCCTGAGTGCGTGTCAGCGCTCCGACATAGAGAAAGCGCGTAATAGGCGCACCGAAGGAGTAGATGACACAGTCTGGTTTCTGTGCAACACGAGAGATGCCACAGGTCCATTTTCCGCCGTCTCCGAGGCTACCAATACGCTCAAGTTCGTGGGGGCAGTTGAACGCGGGCGGGAAGAAGTCCCCTGGCGCGGGCGATGAGCGTGTTTTGCTCCGCTGTCACCAGAACGCTCACTTACAGACAGTGTATGCGGGCCATGGATTTTGGTCAGGAGGAAACCTAGATGACGCTGAGCTGGCACACTTGAGCGCGAAAGTCTGCGCACATACATCATAACCTGCGATGGTGAAGGCCCATGTTTCTTGATCATATCCTGCCGTTGCACCACCACTTTCTTGTACGACTTCTCCGCCCTCTCTACTCTCGCAGGCAAGCTTGGGTCGCCAGGGAAGCCAATGACGTTGGCAGTATAATCGTGTGTCGGATACGGCGCGCTCAAATAGAGAAAAGAGCCCACAGCAAGAACAAGGAACAGCACAACATATTTCGGGTGTCGCTGGAGGGAATAAAGCATTACGAGCGGGGCAGCGCTGTCGACAGCTCGGTCGTTGGGGACGTCAGGAGCGTCGGGAGCGTCGTCGTGGAGGTTGTCCTGCAAAGTCTAGCGAGAGTTGCGCGCCTTGGGCGCGAGATCATTCGAGGCGGTTGTATTACTTACCCCATTTTTACCCTCGTTTCAAAGTGTTTTGATAGTAGTCCCTGAAGCGCTACCCCGCATTTCCACGCACCTTGTGCGCAGCATCTTCAGGTGGTCCCATCACCATCCCTGCGTCAGGTTGGACCTCTAGCGCATACCAGCATGTGCGAACACCACCGAGCTCGACCCTCATCGCTGCCCGACTATCCCAGCTTGAACCACGGGACAGGCGCGAAATGGGTCAAGCCGCTCACTCAGAACCGTCTCAACACCTTCGTGGGGGGTCATTTCTCCGATGTGAACCTTTCGTCCATGCTCTTTACTCACCGAGTCGACGACTCCCATCGTGTGAAGCTTGAGGTTTGGAGTGCACCGGGCCTATCGAAGCCGTTGTTTCAAGAGGCTATGAAGCAGAACTTCAAGCCTGCGAAGAAGGGGGACTCGTTTGGACCGTCCTGTAAGCTTTCTCCCGCGTGTTGGTGTCTGAGATGCTGAGCTATGCGCAGGGGTGAGTCTTAGTTACGCTGAGATACTTTGAAGCTCGCTCCTCGCTTCGAAGTTGAATATATGCGCGTAACGCGTTCTCCTTCTGCTGTGATGATCATGTCGCGTCGATAGTTCATCATAGTTCCTTGGACCCTTATAAGCTACTAACACCCTTGCTAGACGAACCACTGGTGGAAGGTTGCGCTTGATATCCCCTCGTACTTCCAGCAATATGAGCGAGTTCAATGTATGTTACATCTCATTCACGCTGGCCTCAGATGGCTCATTATCCACGTTGCAGTCGAGTTCGACCCCGGCTGTGAAGCTATGATTTTCAGCACGGATGGTACGCCCCTCCAAGGCATTACCGGCGGGTTTGGCGGCGACAGACGCGTGGAGCACATTATACCA